CCACTTCAGCCACTCAGATCAGCAGAAAGCAAGCATGTTCAGAAGCCATTTATTACGCTGTCAAAATGTGCACAGCATATTCCATTTGTTTTGTACCTTCAGCTTGTACCTCAAAACATTTTTTGGGTGTCATTGTGCATTTTTTCCAAAGCCTCTCCAAAGAGGTAGTAAGGACTCACCTGAGAAACAGAATGTTTTGGACCTGCTGAGACCTAAAGATTTGGTTGTAGTTTATGTGTAAAACAAACAAACCCAACAACCTAAAAAAGCTCCCCAAACTACCAAAACAAACCCAAAATTTAATGGAGTCCATCAGCTGTAATATGTTGTCTTATGATTGTCTTGTTCAAACTTGTAAATTTATTCAGAACCGCGAATTATTATTTCATAAGAATCTTTGGAAACATCAGGAGAATTTATTTAATTAGGAAATATCTTCTCCTTCGGCAGAGCTGATGTTGACTGCAGTGTACATGTTATTCCTGCATAGATATCTCTTCTTTATTCGTTCATAATAACTTTTTTGATCAAGAGATTGCTCCAGTCCCTCCTCCTGCCCGTTACAATCTGTCGCACCTGAAACAAACAACCAACAAGAAACTCTGGTATCTAAGGGATCTGACCACTTGTTCGGTGTGTGCAAAAACATAATTAAGCAGAAGATACTGCTGTTGTCTGGCAAGGGAAGAGGCTTGAAGCTAGGGCTCCTAGTTTATGTATGTTAATGAAATGTTTAGATGATCACATTCTGTATTTGAAGAATGAATATGGATGTTTCTAAATAGTTTGTGAAACAGACTTCTTGCTTCCCAGCTAGCTACTTTTAGGCAAAGTATGCTGATCTCTTCACAACTTCCATATTAAATCAGATCACAGATCATCTTTCAGTCTGCTTCAGTTCACCATTCTCACCATATCCCATTTACACTTATAATATCATGTTCTTCTTACTGCCCTTGCTCAGGACTGTAGGCCATTGTTTTTTTGCCTTTTAATATCCAGGTACTGTGTAAACCAGTTTGGCTGTATTATCAAAGAACTCCATTTTGAATGCTATTGAGAGATTTAAATACGTGAGCAATTTTATGCTCAACAATACACATATTTTATTCTTTGATATGTAAGATGGTCACGGAATGTATTAATGAAATGTAGGATTTAATGAGCAACTGGTCTGATTCTGTCTGCAAGTCATGTCTTGAAAAGACACGTATGTGTAGGTAAAAACAGTACTGACCTTATACCACCATCCAGCAGAAAATAAAGTTCTACCGATTTGTGACAGAACTCATAACACATCTGTGAATGAATCTGACATGCATTTGTTGGGGGTGTGTGTTACTGGAAAAATCCGAAATACTAGAAGGCATGTCTTTGTAGTCTTCTAAGATGAGATGGGGAAATCTCAGCTCCATAAAGGGAAAACCTAAATATTTCTATATGAATGCTATGACGTGGATATAATACATCTTCTGAATTTTGGGCAAATAATTTCAAGAGAAAGTGTTATATAAGTCTCTCAAATAACAGAGATGAGGTTGACGCTGGTAATGTGATGAGGGATTTAAAATTACTGATATGATGATTTAGAGGAATGAGTGACTATAATAAAGAGGAAGGTCAGAATATTATGAAAGGATTTTGCTAAGTGACATATGCATGAAAACAATACATGATGGACTTCATATATACAAAAGAAGATGATGTATTTCAAAATATCTTGAGGAAGGGTCATATGGTCTTTATACAGTTCTGCATGCTTCACAGAAAGCCATCCATCTGAAAGTGACCAGTGCTTGTTGATCCTGTAGTTGGGAGGATACAAGTTTATACTTTAAAAGTATTTGTATGCAAGCAGAAAATGAACCTTGAAAGGAGAGACACATGTCACATGATGTAATGGGGAAGATTTTAGTTTTAGTATCCGTTCATTAGTTGGAAGAGTAGGTAAGTAAGAACAACTATGTCTTCTCTAGAAGTAATAAACATTTTAGTCAGTTCTAATTCTACTTAACTTCCCCCTCAGTTTTGGTTCAATGGAATGAGCCAAATCCATTGTTGAAACAAATTCCACTGAAACTCAGAAATATTCCATGACAGCTTATCTGTTTTGATACGTTTTCACTGAAGTACAAGACGGTTCACTGCAACACAGACTGTACACCAGCATGCAGAGCAAATTTGTTTTTGAACTGGTTTCCCACCATCCATCTAGTGAGATGCAGTTGAAGCTTCCCATGTTTGTGGGACATTTCTCCGAAACTAGGGACCAGACCATCATCTCTTGGGCAAGTTTCCCTACTTTCCAAGGGTAAAGTCGTCATACTCTCATTTTCCTGATGCAGGTTGGTCCATATACTTGGCAGTTGCTGATCCTGGAAGCTTCAGAGCTGTTGAGTTGAACTTATGTTTGTTTCATTCAGCTTCTGTCCCAGGGCAAATTTGATTTTGAAATTGTATGGTTTCTCAAAAATTCTGTTCTTTGGTATTTTGAAAAGTGTGGTTTGTTTCAAATTGACTTGATATCAAATTCCAACTCGTTGAAATTTTCTGTAACGTGGAAGCTCTAAGGTTTGTTCATCTTCATACATGGTTTTACTATATTAAATTATTGTCTGTATTTTGGTGCTACTGTGAGATTTCTGTGGTGTGGTGAGTTCAGTATAAACATGGGAAGAAAAGTCTGTCAAACTGCTAGTAGGCTAGAGTGAATGATGCTGTAGAATATTGTTTGTACAATGGAAGGAGAAGATGAGATGGCTGAACAAGCAGGCAGTAAAGGAGCATGTCATGTTGATATAAAGCAAAGGTGAGCAAAAATAGACCTCATTATAGAATTTCTTCTCTAGTTTACTTTATATTTATATTTACAGTTACTAAAAGTTTAGAAAAATTACTAAATGGAACATTTTGTTTTCTGTAAATAAGAAAAAGAATGAGAAATAATGAAGTTTTGCTATTTAATTTAATAGAGTCTATGAAGAGAGGCAATTTTTGGTCACACAAAAATTTAGATAATGGTTCCTAAAACAGGGAATTATAAATTAAATGATTGGCATTGAAAAAGTATCAACAAAAATTATAAGCTGTCCATCAGAGTAGAGGCTAGTCACTACCCTAATACCTTAAGGCCTGTATTTATTCACTGCTAACCACAATAGCTCATTATTTCCGTTGTCCTCAGAAGGAAATACATGACTTGCCTTTTTTGAGCACAAAGCAGAACTGGACTCTGACACTCCAACTTGCCTCTTTCATCTGTTCTCCTTATTTGAGGCTTCCTGTGTCTCTTTCCTCCTACTCTTATGTCTGTAGGTGCTTTTTAATGTCTCCTTTGTCTTCTGTCTTTGAGAATGTCTGTAATTGCAGTCTAATGTATAAACTTCCCGAATACTTACCCAGGTTCCTGAGTGGGTGTTACAGATCAGAATATGCTTTGGGTTGTCAGACCAGATGTCCATTTTTAAGATGGCTTGGTTTATGTCTGTGGGAGATGGAATCATGTTCTTTGTGACAGAAGGACTTAAAGATACCATTATCCCATTTCCTTACCTGGAAAAGATGGCTATAGACTTAACTCCAACTTTCACTTGTGGAGTTGATCCAAAGTGGAGCACATTCTATATTCACACAGAGGGCAGTAGCAATAAGGCAAATTTCGATAGCAACAGTTATTTAACACATTCTGTAGTACCTGCCAGAACTCAAAGTCTGAGAACAATTTTCCCATACCATCATAAAAGCACTCTGAAATTCCAAGTTATCATCATACCACTTTTTTTGCACGATCTGTAGGAGTCTGCAAGTTTCCTTCTTAGCATGTAACTAAAATGAGGTTTGTAAGCATAAATTAGTTGACAGCTGTCAAAATAGTAAATAAAAATTTCACAGCTGGCCAGGATACGTTGGACCTTATAGGTTTTGTTTTTGAAGCTATCAAGTGAGTAGTTAGATAAATGCAATTGGTCCTTTTCTGTTGGGAATGTGGACTAGGCATCATCATCTTTACACCAGCATGTGCAGTTCTCAGCACGGTGGTGCTGTGTTTGGAGACAACCCAACATTTACATTTGGTGGCAGAGTCAGCAGATTGCTTAGTTCAGAACATTAGCAAAAAGAACATGTTAAACTGCAGTTCCAGAGACAGCATTATTTTTGTTTTAATTTCTACAAATTGCTCAAAATGTTCACATTGGACAATGCAGCTCCGTTCATTGTGGGTCCTACATATCCCAGAAACTTTTTCACTGCCACTGTAGGTAAAGTTAGCTCAGCAGTTGAGAAACTGCCTTTTTAAAATTAAATCAAAGGTTTTGGTAATAGATAATGAGTAGAAGACTGTAAGTTCAAGACTGTGCTTCCCAAAGATTGAGTTTGTTTAAGTATCAGAATAAAGATTATAGGTAGTACAGCATGAACAATAAGTAAGGATATATTTGGTCTCACTTTTTTTATGAACTGCTATCTACACTTTAAGATTTTTTGAAAAAGGTGTATGTACATGTTGTTTTAAAAGCTTTATCAAAAATATTTTTTTCTTTTTGATAAAATGACTAGCAAAGCCAAAAGTAAAAGCTACTTATTTTCATTTTGTCATTTTTCCTTATTGGCCCCTAGGACACACAGTTCTATTTTCATGTGAATGAAGTACCTTCATATCCAATATTTTTATTACATTTTTCTGTTATTACATTATTTTTATTTATAAATAATAAATAATAAATAAATATTTATTATTTTTAATTGTTAATATTAATTATTCCTATTTACCAACTAATTCAGTTGCGAGAATTGTCCCAAGTATGCATTTGTTCATAGATGTTTTCATTTTTACTTCATATTGACCAAAGAAAATATTTCCAGCTGTTAAAATAGAAGAATAGTTAAGTAATTTCCACTCAAGATACTTGAGCTTGTAAACTCATTGTGCAGCTTTTTTTCTACTGTAGGAGTCTGAACTACCAAGTCTAAACTTCATCTATATATCTGTGTATATTTAGTGCCAAGGTCAATAGAGCATCCTAAATGGGATTGGAGGACAGAACCGGAGAACCATGATTTTGATGAACTAAATCATATTCTTCAAGAGAGCAAAAAACTTGGAAAAGCCCTTGAGAATCTGTCTCGCAGTAAGTTGATTCATTTTAGTTTTTTAATGTAACCATGCAGCCTGAATTGTAATTTGGAAGTATATATCAAGAAGGTGGTCTTCTATTCAATTAAGACCAAGTTCATTGACATCAGCAGTTACATTCCTGTTGATGAGGTTTACAGAATGTCTTGAGATAATTTAGCAGCCCTCTTGCAGACTGAAACTACTTCCCCTGTACCTCCTTTTTTGTTACAGTAGTTTTCTGCCAGTTTACTGAGCTGAATTAGGTTGTAAAGAGATCAACACAAGAGGCTGGTTTAAGGAAAATGGTGGGAACATGCAGCAGTGAGACTGCACCTTTGGGTGGTAGCAGTTAGGTTGGATTAACCTTTGTGAAACCTTAACCTCATTGATGGACATCAGACCTGTCATTGAAAAGCAATGACGTATTTCAGATCCTTGACTTCAATAAATTCCTTTCAGTTTTCAAAAGCAATTAAAATAAGTATTTTAAAGCATGCCAAATAAATACTCAGAAACATGGTAGCCAGTTATTTTGTAATAAAACCCAAGTATGATCCCTTAAAAGGCATAGTCAAACAGGAGCAGTGTTTAAAAACAGCATGCTCATGAAAGGAGTAGCTTGAAGAATTGCTGTATATAATGAGGAATAGCTTTTTTTTTTTTCTTTCCTGTAGAAGAGAATTCTTAAATACATTGGTGCGAGCAAACACTACTAACAATTATCAAAGTCTGAAAGGTACTCTCAGCCATCGTACATGAAAACTAAGCACAGTGTGGTCTGGGAGACATTTTAATGAGGAATATTCTTTTTTCTCTCATAAAATTTTATCCTTGGCACTTTGTGATTCACTGGAGAGACTGCAGATGGTGAGGTCAGAAACAGAGCTGAAAGAAGAACACAGCGCTCTGTTTTGTGGAGAATTTTGAGATTCAGCATTTTTGTAAATTGTGTCAAATACCCAAAACTAGTTTTCCCAAATTCTCTCTCTCCCAAATGTTTTAGGTTGATCACATCGATTATATTCTCAGCAATTTTCATATTTATATTAATTACAGTAGTATAGTTACAGGGCTCTTTCCAAATACATTTCTAGTAAATTGGTCTATCTGCCTCTAGGGAGCTAAACCACCTCCTATCAGGGTCTCTGATTTGCAGCCCCACCATTGCCTGACTGTGATGGGTATGAGTCTGTAGTTTTCAAGACTTTCTCCTTTACAGACTTGTAACGAAGCTTAACACAGATACAGAAACAATTTTTTTTTTCCCAGTTTCAGAAAGGTTTTTTTATTCACTGTCTGGAGATACAAACCAATCAGACGTGAGAGGTCAATAATAAAGGGCTAAATCCACTCTTCAATCCTGCATCTTTGCCTTTACTTGTGAATATTGTGTAGGTTCCACTGAGCTCTGGCTTCCTTATACTGAAAATACAGTTTGCAGCGTTCTGTACCTCTCTTTGCCACAGAGTTTTCTAACTGGAGTGCAAAACACTGCAGTTCTTCTGGGTCCTACCCTTGGACAGGAAGTGAAATGTACCTGGGCAGTGTTGTTGGAGTCTGGTTTTCATAGTGTTGTTTCACAAATGAAACATTCTTCACTATTTCTTGCTAGTATTTGATGTTTTCTGATGATTTATCAAGATAATATGGAATTTTAATCCTATCCCCCCAGAGTGCTTTAATTCACTTGCAGCCTAATACTAAGTTCACATTCATGAATATGCTCTCTATTTCTTCATTCAGATCATTAACGGAAATATTGTCAGACCTCTTCATGATTCCATTTAAGATCTGACAACCAGCCCTTGAAAGCTACTCAGTAAGTCTGTTTTTTCCCACCAGATGTTTATCTACCTTGCAGTGATTTCACCTAGAATGTAATTCTCTAATTTGTTTACTGGAGTATCACCTAGGACAGTAAACAAAGTCTTATTATAGCTGAAGAATTTACATCTACTTCCTCCTCTTACCCACTAGGCAAGCTTCCCAGTTGAGAAAACATTGAGACTGATTTGATGCAATTCATTCTTGATAAATTCATGTCGTCTTGTTCTTACCAGCTTTCCGATCCATTAGATGTTGATAAATTGTTTATTTAACAATTTTTTTAAATATTCTTGCTGCTGCTAGATTTAGGCTTGCTGGTTAGTAGTTCCCCATGCCTTCCCTTTTTCCTTTCCAAAGAAAGATACAGTATTTGCCCTTTTCTGTCCTCCCCATTCCTGAAAGACAGTTGCTAATGGATTAGAGGATTCTTCAGCTAGTTAGTTAAGTGCTCTAGAGTAAATTTCACAAGATTCTGCCAACTTGCATTTATCTGAGTCATCAGAATATCTTTCAGATTTCTATCATCTAGCTTGCAGTTTTTCCTCTTAAAATCACTAGTGTCAGGCATCTGGCCACAATTAATTATTTTGTAAAGACTGAGGCAGTGAAAGTCTTGAACACTGGGATTTCTTTGTATCATCTGTTACTTGCTTTCTTTCTCTTCGATGTAATAGTTCTGTATTTTACTTTGTCCTCCTTTCCTAGTGTATTTATAGTATCTTTTCTTGTGGCTTTTTTTGTTCTGTGATAGTTGTTACTCGTGTTACACCTTAGCCTTTTTGGTTGTATCTTTTAAATACTTGCATCAGATTATTCCTGAGCTGTATGTCCTTGTTTCCAGTTTTTGTAACCCTTATTTTCAGATCATTTCAGGAAATAAATCTGTTCTGTGCTGTGATTTCTTACATATTAGGATGATATAAAAACTCAAAATGAAAAATGTGAAAAGTTTGTAAAAAAAAAAGGTATAATTTTGAAAATAAATGTGGTTTTATTGTTCTGCAGACTGCACATAGCAAATATCATAGAGGGTTTCAATGAAAATACATGTCTAGAACTTCAAAAGTATAAGACATGTGAAACTGATTCTGTGCTGTACCCAAACAAGCATTCCATGTGGTGAATTTTACAAAAGCCATGACAAGCTACTTTCTCCACTGTTAATGCTTGATTTGGGCAGGCTAGTCAGTGCTTTTGATTCTACAAGCATGTCCATAAAGTCAATGAGTCTAATGCTACATTTGATACTAATCTTGTTTTGAAGCAGTATGGGACAGGCACCAGGCTCAACAAATTTTTGAGTATGCAAATGATCACAACGTACAATGAATAGCTTTTTACAGCACCCTGTCATTTCATTCTTCAGTATTTTAGCAAGGAAGAGTGCCACATAAAAGCAGATGTTTGAAGTTAGATGAACTTTTCATCAAGTCCTGGAATTAATTCCCATTTTTTAAAGATAAGCTTTGGACCTTGTAGTGAGTTTCCAGGATTTCATTGCCTGCTATGCAGCTGACAGCCTGTGAATTAAACTCTAGTTTCTATTGCTTCATTTACTATGCAATCTAGATACCTGCTTTGAGACAAACCTGTGCATTTCACACAAAATTAGAATTGCCTGAAAGCTTTGGGAGGTGAGGCTCAGGCACTTGGCTGTCTGGTCTCTCCTATGTTCGGTCCTCCTAGTGATGAAAACTGAACTTCCTTATATTTGGAGCCCTCCCAAGCCCCATGTGAGTAATTCTGTGCTGCAGTAGATCTGAGAAACCAAAAGTGACTTCACACTTAGTGTTAAAATTATCTTATGAGGTTTGAGAGACTGGAGAAGAGTATTGCCATAATTATTGTCTAAGTGCTTTGGAGCTTGGTGATTTAAGTATACTATTTTCCAGAGGCCTACCTATGTGGGAAACCTGGGTTTCATTTGCTTCTCCAACCAGCTATGTGTCATTGAAGTGGATTTTGAACTATCAAGTCAACTATTTAGGGGAGATTCCAGCTTATGAAACAGCATACAGGCATATACTACATTTCCCTTGTGCATATTTCGTTTTCTTCAATTGCAAAGTCTCTCATCTTTATTGCCATCATCATTCTTCCTCAGCTGATCATAAATAAGAAAAGTTGCATGCTGTTTCAAATGTATGCTCTTGTATTTCCCCTTCTGGCTTGTTTGCTTTTTGAAGAGAGCTAAAATCTTTTGTATAGCTAAGGATCTTTCTCATGATCCCCTCATCTTCTGAGGGTGGAAAAATAGATAACAAGAGATGGAAAACAGTGGATTACGAGTGTTTTGAGTGGGAAAAATGAGAACTCAATCAGCAAGAGCTTGCTGCAAAGTAGGTATGAAGTCTGCCTGCTTTCTGAACAGCCTTACATCTTTTAATGAACAGCTAAAGATTAGAGTACATATTGAAAATGTGTGCATATTGGATGTTTCAATTTACACGTGATAACAGCATTTGATGACACTTACTGTGTTCTACTGTGAGATAGGTACTTTTTCATAATTACACATAGCCTTTCAACAGAGAGAACCAAGATTTTGTTAGTAATGTTTGAATCCTTGTTAAGGCCAGGTGTATACTACAAATCAGAGAGGAGGAAACAAATTTATCATGCTTTGAATTCAATGGACTTTCTATGGTCAGAAAATAGTAGTAAGTTAACATTAACCAAAGCTATTTGGGAACCAGCCCAAGTCAGTTAGTTGGGAGGAATCCCAGAAATAATGGTATCTAGCTATAAGCAATAGGAACAAAGTACTCTTGTTTCTTAATTTGGAAGGGGAATAATCAATAAATAAATAATCAGTAAATAAGAAAACCATCTGCAATGTAGTAGGAAATATTGCTGGGAACCATAAAGAATCATAGAATCACAGAATGGTTGAGATTGGAAGGGACTTCTGGAGGTCATCTGGTCCAAACCCCTTGCTCAGGCAAGGCCACCTGGAGCCGGTTGTCTAGAACCGTGTCCATGGCTCTTGAATATCTCCAAAAATGAAAGATCTCTGAGTCCCTCTGGAGTGTGTGAAACAGTTATTTCTCATAATGTTAGAATCAGTTGATGTTGCTTATGTATAACTTAAGAAAGATAAGCATGATTTTATCCACTTAAGAAAAAGATAAAATAGTGAAACGTAAAAGCCTATGTTCTCTTTATCTTTTACAGGGAAGAAGAGTA